TCACTGTTTGCCTCCACACTGCCTGAAGCAGCAGAAAGAAGACCACCAAAAGCTCTCCCTTGTCCCTTCTGTGTCCTTCCTAGTTACTAATACATCCCAGCTATGCATCCCACTGCACCAGCACACCTCCCTGAGAACTCATACCTGCAGATAGCAGCTGGAAGCAAAGGGTTATCTGAACAACAAAAACTAAATTCAGAAATTAATTCCAGGCTTTTTCCTCCATTTTCAGCAGAGCTTGGAAGCTATTTGGCCAATGTTCTCCTGACCAGTCTCTCAAATTCAGCCACAGGCCAGTTACTGGAAGAACTTCCTGCACCCAGAAGCAACACAGAGCTCACATTAGAAGGTCAAGGGCACCCTGTGATGTTTCAAAGATGCTCATCATGATCACACCTTGTACCTGTAGCTACCTTGACCAATACAAACATGGAGTCCACTCCATGGAATCTCTCTCCAGCCCCTCTGCCTGCTCCCTATACAGCAGAGGGGTTGTGTGCACCATGGACTTGGGAACCCCTGGCCAGCTCTTTCTTCCTGGATTTGGTTTCTTTCCACTTATTGTTTCCACTTATTGTTTCCTTTTACACTTCTGTATTTGTTTTATGTTAAATGCTAATGGAAAATTCAGGGAGACTGAATCAGAAATGGAACTCTCAGCATTCAATTGCTTCCCAAATGCTGGCTTGGGCTGTACCATTTGATACAAATCCTTCTGTCATCTGCACATTAGGAACACCAAACCTACTGCCAACCCAGCCCAAAGACAGACCATCTCACACATTTCTCTCCTGTACAGTGAGGGTTGCAGAAGTTTGCTGCCTTGCCTAAGTCTAGAGTGAACAAAAGAAAGGGACACAAATTGGTTTAAGTGCAACAGCAAAAGTGCTTGTGAAATACAAAGAGGCAGGAGAAACAAGGAGCTTGTAGGACTCAGCAGCCCCTCTATTTTTTCCCCCAGAATAGGGCTTGGCACAACAGTTACATTTTCCAAGAGATTCAGGATGGGTCTTTAAAAAGCAAAAAGTAAGAACATCTTATCTAGGAAGCAACGGAACAGCGGAAACACTGCAGAAGAGTTATGGGCTATGTCCTGTCCTGGCTCCAATTCCTCAAAACAGCTGAGCAGTTTCCCCAAAGCACTGTTGGCTAGCACAAACCCTGGCGTGGAAAACTTCAGCCTCAAAGGACAAAAGAGGTGAAAGTTCGAATTTAATACATGGAACTGAGCATTTATACAGCCTTAATGTCACCATTAATTCTATTAATGTTATTAATCTCCGAGAGAGTGAAGGGGAGGGCACTAAGTTGTGAAGATAAGACAAAGCACAAGAGATTTTATTAAAAAAAAGGGAGGGGGTGTTTAAATCCCTAACTGGTATAGCTGTTTCTGTGGCATTAGATGTCACCACAGTCAGTTACAGCTTTCCCATGAATGTCATTGTTATGGAGGGAGACACATTGCCAGAAAATTTTACCCACTAATTTCTCATTGAAGCCCATAAACATATCTGAGACTAAGCAGCAAATCTTCGCCTCTAAAATCATTTAGCAATGGTGAATCCAACGACTCACCAAGTATTTTTTATTTTAACAAAAAAAGCATTTCCCTTGCTGCTGAAAATACATCTCTTACTGCTACACTGGCATCAAGCTAGTGGTTTAAATTACAACAGGGGAGACCTCCAGGAGCACACATACCTGTACTGTAAGCAAATATTTAGACAGGATATGTAAGATATGGGACTCCTGAACTCACAAGCTCTCCTGGTGCCTGCAAACCAAATACGCGCAGGAGGATCTGACGCTGTCACATTACGCACTGGGAGCCGAAATGACTCCTGGTTTTGGGGATGGATAATCAGCAGATTACTCCATGCTCCTGATTAAAGAGGAGATAATCCATTTCTGTACGGCTTTGGTGTCAGATCAGAGCAATTCTGGCAACAGTTCCAACAGCACACGGCGCTCCAGCAACAGCTGATGCAAACGCTCCAGAAGCTACAGGGCATCCCAGCCTCTGTCCAAAGGACGTGCCGCCACTTGGACTGTCCTTCTGCAGCAGCAACTGCTGCCAAGGTCAAGCACATAACGGAGGCAGGACAGGTTTGCCTCTCCTCCCAGACCTGAATGTCAAGGCTGGGAGATTAGGAGCCAGAGAACCCACAACAAAGACTTCCAAAGGGCTGGAGGGACAGGGTTTGCTGTTTGGGCTGCATCCTGGAGTGGCCGATCACAGCCCGGGGATGTGTCACCCCACAAGAGAAGCGTCCACCCCACTTGAAGTGGATTTGGTGTCTGTAATAACTCATCCTGCCTACTCAGTCACTCTGCAAAGCTTTAGCACAGAGGATTTCATGTTAAACTAAGGAAGGTGTACAGCTCATTTTTGCCAGTTTTATTTCCATTTGAATGGATTTAGCTACAAGTGATAAGGAAGCCCTGAATAGCTGCAAATAGTAATATCAGAGCTTGGGTCCATGCAGAAGAGCAGCTCTGGAAAGATTCTGTCCTTTTCCAGTCTCATCCCTAAGGATCAGCACAAATATACAGGTCTCGATTGTCTCTCCTTCCTGTAGTTTGGGTACATTAGATCAAAAAGTGTGGGATGAATTATGCTGGGCAAGAGGAACTCAAATATGCAAGATACAACTGACCACAGCTCATCTGATGACCAAGCACCAAGACCAAAGGAAGGAAACACCATCCCACAAGCAGCCAAATATTCAACAGCAGGCTCTTAAAATACAGCAGTCTAAGGCATGGAACTCCAATATTTTTGCAGAAGAGCTTGAGGATCTCAGTAGGGAGACTCCTCAACCTGCCCAAGCAACCAGCAGGAAGGTGTGCCTTCAGCCTCCAGGTGACTGGGCTGGAGGGAGAAAGGCTGTCAAGATTAAAAGCCTCCCAAGAGGTAAATGATGGAGGGTGGTAATCAGTTCATCTCTACTTCCACCCCAGGTAAGATTTAAAAAATCCCTAAATCAGCTTTGTCTGCAGCAAATGAAGATTTAGTTCTGATACTAGCACTCAAAGACAGAGTCATTAGGCTTTGGGACAGGCTGAGGAGGTTGCCAATTCTCCTTCATTAGTTTCATATGAGGCAGAGACACACCCTTGAGGGACAGGCCAGGCACATTAAATCCAGCTTTCAGGAACAGCTGAACAACACCATCCCCTTCCAGACTTGCCAGTCAAGCTCTTCACAGGCTAAAGTGAGAGTGAGACCAGCACAGAGGATGCTCTATGGAGCTGACAGGAGAACCACAGAGAACAGACAGAATAGTTTGTGCAGGCTCCCTTCCAAAGCTCACCTATTTTGAAGCCTTGTGCTTTGACAGGCACCCATCTCAGCCTGTCTTAATGTCCCCCTGCCCTCACACAGCCCTGCAGCCATCCCTCCCCCCACAAAGGGGCAGATGCACCTCACAAGATGTCTGATCCACGTCAGGGATGCTAATGCAGCAACCCGTGCATGCTCTTTGTTTTCCATGCAGCATTTCAAAAAGCTTTGTTGTTCATTTAAGGTGAAGCAGATGCTGTTCCTCTGGTCTCTTTGAACGAGCTTATCTATGGGCTGGATTTCATTAAGTGTCTTGTTCTGCATTTAATAAGCTTGCAAGTCTAGACACTTTGGTTCTCCCTCTATCACCCCTTTGGTGTACCAGCAGGTAGAGACAACAGAGGTTAAGAGGGAAATATTTAGCCAGCAGATTAGATGCTATCAAGATGATTGCATAATTCTACTTTGACTCACTGCAATTTCATACCCAGGGATTTTTTCTCTCACCCTAGTGCCAATCCCTTTTGAAAGGAAGAGGTTGCAACCCACTGTAGTAGTGCAGAGGAGCTTGCTGGGAGGTTCAAGGCACAGACTTTGGGATATTCATAGAAAACTCACATTGAACCAATGGCCAAACAAGGGAACAATTGTCCAGAGGAGCTGCATGGGGGAACTGTCCTTAACCACAGAGTGTGATGGTAATGTACAAGCAGAACTGTGTGAACAACTCAGTCCACTTGAGTTGTCAGACACTTCCATATGCAGCTGGCTGTCACCTCAGTCCCCCAGCCAACAGGGACAACACAAGCAGCAGCCTGACATCCTGCTCCTCCTCCACAGATGCCCAGGCAACAGGAGGCTGCAGTGTCTGGGAGCACTGAGGCACCTACAAAGTGCCACAGAAACCAACCAAGAGTTCAGAAGCAAATCAAGAAATGCCCTGAGACTTCAGCCAGGTGCTGTGCCCAGTGTCTAGGCATTGACTTCAGCTGTTTGCAGAGGTGCTCTCAAAGGAAAAGTACCTGGCTGCAAGGTGGGCAGTGCTGGCTGTGTGCCAGCTACCTCCAAAGGGAGCTTCTTCCTGCAGCTCCCATGAGCTAGGCATGCCCCATGGAGATCCAGTCTGACAGGACACACTGTGGACCCAGGGGCAATACTGAGACCAGTCATTTGCTTATCTGTCAGCAGCTAGCATCACTCAGCGATGGGAACTCAGCCGAGACTTGTTCATTATGGTTCTGACCCCGCATCACACTCGAAACCTCGGCCTCCACACAAAACCACTCTGCATTTATCTGCTGCTCTGCTTAGCCCCAAAGGCTAAAAGTGAGATGGATACAAATCCTGTGGGTTCAGAACATGCTGGGAAAGATCAGCATTGTTGTGGATTGGGGCTGCAAGATGTGCATGTTACAATTACGTGCGATGCAGGGATGTACCAACAAAACCAACTGCAATCTTACATTAGAGCAAAATAGCTTTTCAAAAGATTAATCAGAAAGAAAGATCTCTCTCTTTGGGAAACAAGCAGCCATAATCAGCAAATACTTCTCTCTCACGGGATTACAAAACAAGGCATGCTCTGCCCTCTGAGCCGAGTCATGAACTTTCCCAGCAAAGGGGGAGACAGAGCAGAATAACTGCATAGAAAACAACAGGATGGGGATTTTTCACATTTTTATCCCAAGGACAGCAAGTTCAAAGTCTCTGCACTTACCATCAAACTTCTTGTATCGGGAACTAAACATGTTTTGTAGGTGATTGCTAAGCTCTACGACAGCATTTCTGAAGTCATGTTTACTCTGCTGACTGTACTTCTCCTCCATTTCTTGAGAGCAGCATGTGTAGCCTTGTGAGCAGACTTTCAAGTGGTCACCTGAAAAGCAGAGAAGAAAATATCCCAAGTTAAAAGGACTTTCTATGCCAGAGAAAAGAAGTCTCATGAGGCAGGGTGTGTGAAGATTTGCAGTACCACTTACTTGCAAGGAGATCCCCCCCACTGTGAACACTGGACCAAGCACATCAAAACCTGATTCCTTAGAGAAACATTTCATTAATACATGTAAAAAACCTGTCTTTCCACAAGAATATTATAAAGTGTCTTCTTACTTATTCAGTTAATAAACTGATACTCATAATAAACTGATACTCAATAAACAGATACTCCTCCTGCACAGTATAATCTGAAGAACCAGAAAACTGACCTGTTTATAGATATATTGTACATGATAACTTGAATGAAGTTTTTGCTGAGTATTTTAAGTACTTCCAGTTCATTCAGTTACTACACAACATCAGTGGCAATGGCCCTTTTTGTCCAGATAAGTGCTTTTTTCTTCACCCCTTCCCAGTCCAATTATCAGAGAAGTAGTCTCACTCAGGAGCACAGCTGTCACTGACACTAAATTATACTTGCTTTATGCAATGGCTCACGAAAATGGTTTATATTTCCCAGCTCCTAATTTTGCAGTTTTCTGTCATCATCCTGGAGGAAACAGAGGGCTTGTTTCTGGAGACTTCAAACAGATTTTTTTTTTTTCCTTAAACTAATCCTTTCCTAAGAGTCATCTGGTTCAAGCTGGCTTGGTCAGAGGGATCATCACCAAGTGTTTCAGTATCTGCAACAGTTTCATTTCAAAATCTCTCAGCCAATCTGGACATAGGATCTGGAGCACACAATTTGCTTTTAGATGCCTTGCAGCAGTGTGGGATGAAGCTGTCCCCTTCCAGCAGCACCCGTAAAATGCCATTGTCAAGTTTTGTGGGCCAAGATAAACCCCTGGCACAGCAATCCTCAGCTCCAGCTCTCTGACAGGCCCCACCAACACAGAACCAACACAAAGTAGGTGGGCTGATACCAAAGTGGTTCAAATTTGGGCAAATTGTGCAAACCTTTGTCAACACAGAAGATACGATCAAAACAAGCAGTCAAGATGAGAAACTCATGTTTCCAAGTCAGATGGTATTTTAGAAGACACAGCCAACATAAAAGCTGCAGCCTTCTCTCCCATTTCACACCCTGCTGCCAGACCTTATCCTTCATTCTGAGGAAACAGATGGAGAAGGGAAAAGCTCTTCCCTGCCTGCTCCCAACCCTGGGAGTCACCAAGGACCTCCAACCACCACGGAGGTTCAGAGACTCACTGTCAGAGCTGCAAAGGACTTGTCAGCCCTCATGCAGAAAATAACATCTTCCTGACAGGCAGTGCACCACACATTTAAGGAAAAGCCATCCATTCTACCTGCTAGAGCATCAAAACTGGATTTAGAGAAACAAAAGCAGGTCTTGGACAGTTCAAAGCCTGCCCATGGTTAACACAACAGGATGATGCTCTGCCTGCCTTGTGCAAGATTTCTCTACAATGTCTTTTGCCCAGGTTGTGAACCTTTGTAGCACTTTGCATGACCTTCTAGCCCAGAAAGGTTAGTGTCTCCTTACAGACTCTTCAAGGCCATCTTAAAAAAACAACACAAATATTATTTTTTTTCTCTCTCTCTCTCTCTCTCTATATATATACAACTCCTAAGAACCTCTCCTCCTAAAATCTATTTCCCTGTTGAGCTACAGGATTTGTTTGTTTTCTGTGGCATTCCAGAGAGACCTTGACCAGCAGGTAATTCTGACACAGCAAATTGATTGCACAAGACCATCCACTGCTCTTCAATTACGGAAAGCTCAAAGTCCGCTACGGGAAGCAGCACTGCTTAAGCACAGCTTTTGGAAAACACAGAAAAATCTCACTGACTCCTTACAGTTATATCTTTTTTTCACAGACTACTTCCTTCTGTCTCAGAGGAGCACCTCCAGCAGCAAAACCATAGCTCCAAGGGAGGCAACTCCAGATAGCTTTGTAAGTCATTTAAAATGGAAGAAGGGGTGCATCCTGCCCTCTAAATTCACCCTAGAGCATGCCTGGGCACTCTTCTCTGAGCCCACCTTACCAGCAAGCATCAAAATAAGAAAGTGCGCAAGCATCTCTGCTTTATTTCACCTCGAATTTCTGCTCCAATTCCAACACAGGACTAAGGACTCTGACACAACATTAACCATTAATAGCAGCAAAGCAAATTCAGACCTACTGATACCAGGATTTCATTCCCTAGTTACACTTCACAGACACTTCTGAAGTTTTTCACACATGCCCTACAATCCCTAATACAGTGGCTTTAACAACTTCTCCAATTTATTCGTCATTAAAAAAAGCCCAGTGTATTTCAGAAATACAGGTATCAGATTCACATCTATTTACATTATTAAACTAAAGTTACCATCCTGCCTAATGTTACAAAGCAAAATCATTTTCTCTAATCCCCTTTGTCCCAGATTTGACAGTGCCTCCCCAGGACACACGTGCAAAGCCAAGCAAGAACACTACTGACAGTAAATCAAGCTTGTACAGATCTCATTTGGTTGATCATTAAGAAATAATGCTCCAAAATGTAACTCAGACATTCAAAAATGAATGACCAAGCAATCTAATTATGGAAGATATTTCTCAGTCATGTCAGCACTATGTGGTCTTGGCTCATGATCAAGAATTAGCTCTGTCTGGAACTGAAGAGCTCTGGCTACTCAGTGCTAATCATAGGAAGATGCACTCTGCTACCCGGCATTTGAAAAACAGAAAGTTTAGGTCTGTGGGCTGCTTTTCTTGCTGTTTTCTTATGCCACAGTGCGAGATGCCACTGGAAAGTCACTGGAAGACACTGGGGGCCTCAGTTTTCCCACACAGAGGTTTGTCCCAAGCACAACAGCATCCCTAAGGATACATCCAACACCAACACTGGCACAGTGGGTGAGAAATCTCACATCTGACCTTTTAAATCTGTTAGCAGAACTGATCCATTCAGGATCCATCCACAGGACTCATCCAATGCAGACAGACCCTGGTGCAAGACATCATCAAATAGCTTTCAAACACCACAGTGGTTGAATGAAAGGGATGAAGGCTGAAGAGCTCCATGTGAGCACTGACCAGTTATGCACACACAACCAGCCTGGAGCCCAGATCAAAGCCAACGCCCTTTGTCAAACTGGCAGTGAACTCCTCTAAGGGAAATGAATGAAAAATACTCTTTAATACTTGTACTTAGGTGTACTTAGCAGAGATCTAATGTTTATGCATATTATGTAGAGAACGCTCATGGTGTGCGCTCACTGTCAAGGACACATTCAGCAATAATTATTTCCCAAGTTAAAACTCCTCAAACAATGCAACTCTTCATCTACTGTTGAGTGTAAAATCCTCGGCAGCTTTTGTAATTTATCACCATGTGAGCACAGCAAAAATATAACTCTGCCACAGCCTCCTTTCAAGTTAGGCTTTTTATTGAATTGTTTGGCAGGGTGTGCAATCATCACATCGGGGACTGCATGGCAAAAAGAGCTCAAGTAGCAGAGATTGACTCCAAATATCTACCACATATGCACGCCATCACCACAGCTCGACATGGATTTGCAGCAGATCTTTCTCATGGCCTGCTGCAGCAAAATTTTTCCTTATTTTATGATACATTGAGTACAGAGAGAGAAATGAGGGACCAAATATTATGAAAGAACCTTGCTCCTTGGCTGGTTAACAGCACATCTCTGGGGAATGGAGGTGGTTGTTTAAAGACAGAAATGTAATGGTACATGACATTACCATCTGTACATCCAAGCAAATGCACTCAGAAAGGTAATCTTGCAAACTTATGATTTAAGCCATTACAGAAACACTGCATTTAGCAGACTCCAGGCACACAGAGTTTCTTCTAAATCAAGTAACTATTTTGCAATGTGTTGAGAAACAGGTTTTCATCAAATAAGTAAATGAGCAGCACAAACTCAGGGGCTACATGATACTGAAAAGCAGTTCTCTTTACCAAGCAATTTTCCAAGACCTTTTCAAAATGTTGTTTCTGGAGTCTAGCACACCTTCCCAGTCTGTTCCTCCTCACCTTGCCCAAGTTCATACTTTAAGGACAGCTAACTGCAAAACTAGCTAATGCTCCAGCAGCAGTTTACTGGGAGGTGGGGGGTGACTACTTCTTTAAAAGGCTCCCCACACAGCCCAGCCCTTCACTGGAGCTCAGTAAACAAGCCAGAAGTGGTTTATGGTCTGAGACCTTACTGCTGGACTTCGCTCCCATGTGAGAAATCAGGCTGGGGTAATGTTGGGTGGTGGAAGAGCAGGAGGAAAACACTGCTGAGGACCTGAAAGCAGGACCAGCATTTCAGCCTTCTGCTCTGCCTCTCCCCTCTAGCACACGTGGATCTGTGTCATCTTTAAAGGAGTTTTATGACTTCCTCTGAACCAACTACCAAAGGAATCCCGGACTGTAATGCCGGACCCTAATCCAATTTCACACTAGACTTGCCTTCTAATTATCACAGAATATTAGGCTTCCACCCATCATATATAATTGACATGCTACTGAGGCTTTACAAAACCCCCAACAAAGATGACAAGAAACACTAGCATCACCCCTGAGCATAGCTCCACTGCTCCAGCCCTGCATTAGCAAGGGGCAAGAAAAAAGAAAAGCATGAGCTCTGGCAGAGTCATCAAGTCCCAAACTGTCCACTCAATCCAGTCACCTTTGATTTACTGAAAATACCAAAAATATCCCCTTTTCCTGGCTACAAAATTATCAGGGGATGGCTCAGTACCTCTGGGAATGGGCCATGAGCTCCCGTCCATCTTTAATGGTGCTGCTGTAATCCCTACAGGATGTCAGCACAGCCACAGCACAATCACTGCTTACACTGTCATTAGATACCTGCCAACAAAGAACACTAGAAAAATGCAGAGTCTTGGCATTTAACTATTTCCAGGTGAAATTACACTAAGCTGTGAACACCAAAGAGAGGAAAAAATATCTGTCTCTGAGGTA